TGTACACCTAGAGCTGCTCTAGGAAATCATTAAAATCTGATTATGAGCCCTCCTGTCTGCCGATGGGGCCAAGACAATTTCTTGCCTTCAACAACAGAATGACGAAGGTAGCAAAGGACCTTCTCAAATAAAAAAGACAGCTGTTAAAGAGCACCTTCTTTGATTTTAAATATATTGCATTTCATGTGTCCATGGCTTTAAATTAACCTCCCCGTTGATACTATGATTCTATTTATGGGAATCTATCCAAGGTACTAAAACTACATGTACATTGAGGGGTGGCAGAATACACTATCCAAAATATGCTGCTTTGTCATTAGAACTATTTTGAGCTACAGGTGTTGCCTTGGGAGTTAGGTTTTTCCACAATATCACAAGAAAAACACTTCAGAGACCGATGCACGGGAGACTGTGGTGTGGCATGGTTTATTCGTGTGGAGATATAAGCTGCCCCCTGGGTTTCCAATGTCCTATGTTCCTTTGTCCTGCTATGGAAAAAGTCCAACCATGTTCTCAGCAAGGCCAAGACAAAAGCCAGTGTTCACAGTTTCTGCTCCATATTGAAGTACAGCCCAGTTCAGCATCAAGCCAGCTTAGTAGGTGTTTCTAGCTGTAGTACACTTCAGGCTCGTTCCTGGAGCCTGCATGTGACATTGCATGGCTATGAGTCATGTGGCAGGTAGGACAACAGGGCCAGGAAGAAAGGACTTAGGAATGCATGGGGTGAGTGTGGGTTATCCAGGTGAGAAAGAGACAGAGGGAGCGAGTGCTTTTTTGTCCCCCCAGGGGTATATTAGCTTGAGTGTGGGACAGACCTGGTACCTTTTGAAAGGCACCAATCAACTTCCTAAAGTTTTGTGGATTTTAGATGGGTCCACCTCTCAACTAATTTCTCCTTTCTCCAGGCTAGAGCAGCAGGCCTCTATGGTCCAGCACCTCCTCCTGCATCATTTTGACTTCTGTTGAGCGTATGTCTATCTTCCCATGCTCCTACATGACAATCTGGTACTGGAGGTGGAGAAGGGAGGAATATGAATCCTCTTGGCAAAGAAATACTTTAATACCCTTGAGTGAGAAGCTGCAACTTCCTGGCTGAACAAGCAAACAGGCTTATGCTTCCCATTTTATTAAACTCAATATTTAAGTCCCTTTTGCTCTCTGTTCTCAATATGTAGCTAAACACCAGTGCTAACACAAGCACTTGAAGAACACCGGATGCAAGAAGGGCATTCTGACCTTCCCTTTTCTTCCTGAAAGTGAGAGATAAAACTTCCACGTGAAAGCTGCCTTCCATATACCAGGAGGAGTGAAACGTTCTTCTTACCAAAGATGGGGAGAGCCAAGGGAGAGTGAATTCTGTATAAACAGACCTTACTAAAAAATTCTTATCTTCTACTTTGGTGTCCTCATATATTTGGATACTTTTCTCCAGTGGCCTCTCTTTCTTTGACCTAGTATGTAAGCATTAAGATTTTGCCCCTTCTTTGAGTCTTCATTTTCCAATGAGGGCTTCCATGTACATGCAAAAATCTGCCTTTCTCTTGTTAGTCTGTCTTCTGTCATTTTAACTCTTATGCTAAACCAGGCACCCTAAGAGGGTAGAAGTAAAATTTTGTTTCCCCTACAAAATGAAGATACTAATGGTATCAGAAAATAAAGACAATCTAAATAAACAATAATAGGGAAATGGTTAATTAATGCACTGGAGAGAATATTTTCAGGCAATAAAAATGAACCATGAAGCACATAACAGAATAGTATATTATAACTTTTAAATAAAAATTCGGGATATAGAGGCATATTTGGAATATTCAGAGTTATGAATTATAAGAGATTAAACAAGGAAGAGATGAAATCAATGTACTAAAATGTCTATTGATGGTCAGACTAGGTATTAAAATTTATTTCTTGTATTTATAACTTTTTAAATTTTGTGGCACTTGTATTACATTTGTAACACAAGGAAAACATTTTTTTTTCGGTTTAAAAAGGTAAGAAGTTAGGGAGTAAGATGCCTATAGTTAAGAACCACTGTGTTCTATCTTATCCTACCTTCTCCCTCAAAATTTAGGAAGTATTGATGTTGTAGCAGTTTTGGTAAAACAGCAGAGGCACACAGTTTAAGGAGTTGGTCTCCACTCAGAGAGAGCTTCATAGGACACACTCACTGAGATCATACTGTGTGAAATTGCCAAACTTTGACCTTTTAGAACAGCAACTTCACTTCAACACTTCAACTCACTACTTTGATGAGAACTTTAGAAGGTAGAACCTCTTAGTTCTACAATTCTTGAAACTGGTTTTGTTGGTGTAATTAGAAATAGTCCTCTGGGAACTTGTAATAATCAATTTTCAAAGCACTAGCTAATACTGGATGTTGATGTAGGGACTCTCAGTGGGGAGGGATTTCTTTCTCATGATCAGAATACTGTTGTTCTTTGCAGAGCACGTCTTTTCAATGTTCAGACACTTGGGAACTTACTATTTTGTTCAGTTATTCACAAATATTTATTGAATTCCTACTATATTAAGGCCTTGTACTAGATACTAGGGCAAGACTAAATAGAAGACAAATTTTAATCAGAAAATTGCTGAAGACTATAGAAACAGAGCAAAGGGAAGTGGACCATGCTGAGGGTTGGTCATTCAAGACATGAAAACGCCTGGTGAACTGTCTTGATTCTCTAACGTGTAGACTTTCTGATGTCCAAATGCCCCTGCCCACAAAGGCAATGTCTCGCTCTGCCAGAACAGTACTGACAAATGTTCCCTGAATCCATTTTATCCCAGCTCCTTGCAAACTGCCCTGCTCTATTAACAAATTCTTCAGGGCAGGGCTTGAGGTAATTGATTCAATTTCAGCTTTCACATATCTTTAGAGTCTAGATTTCCCTTCCTGAGAAGATATTCTCATTACCTTAATTAGACCTAAATATTTTCCATATTTCTTCAATCATAGAATATTAACCATAGATTTGCAAATATTCTCTTGGGGGACTTCCTCAAATATTTCTTCTAAGACCTTAGGCCATATGCAATGATACCACTCATCATGTATGTTGACCTTAAATATATTTAACAACTAGTATAATAATATCAATTAATATATAAATTAACAATTCTAAAATTTATTCTCTTACATTATCTAAATAAATCAAACTCTATTTTTGTAAAACTGCATATCAAGTGATACATGTGCTGGTTTCAGCAACCAGTAAGGTCACAGTGTATTTACCGAATGTATGTATCTTGGGTTTTAGAGGAAAAATGCTGGGGATGCACAGTTCTTGCCAGCTCCATGTTCTTTTTCATCTGCCACTTTGAAAAATCCAATTTCTACTGCATCGTAGACATTTCAGTTTTTCATCAAACCCTCATATTAATATTTTGCAGGAAAATAAGAATTAGAAGAATGCTTTAAAGATATGGAAGGTATGATTTCTTAAGCTGCCAATGGGAAACTTCCACTTGCGATAAATTTATTTTATGAAGCAAACCTTCTTTTTAAAAAAATTTTATTGAATTTATTGGGGCAACATGCTTAATAAAATTATATAGGTTTTGGGCATACCATTCTATAACACATAATTTGTATATTGTATTGTGTGTTCGCCACCCAAAGTCAAGTCTCCTTCTGTTGCCATTTATACCCCCTTTTCCCTGTTCTACCTGTTCTACCCACTTTTCCCTCTGGTAATCAACATACCGTTGCTTGTGTACATGACTATTTTTTGTTTTTTGGTTAATACTTTCAACTTGTTCACGCAGCCCGCCAATTCCTCTCTCCTCTGAGAGCTGTCAGTCTGTTTTCTTATCTGTGAGTGTTTCTATTTTGTTTGTTACTTTATTTTGCAGGATGATGCCCAACCAGCTGAGCCATACCAACCAGGGTCATACTTTTTTCCTTTAAGGCTTCTTGTGTGTGTGTGTATGTATGTATGTGGAGATTTATATGTGTATGAGTTAATGGAATAGTGTATTTATGTATGGAGATTTATTTCAGATAATTGGTTTATGTGATTGTGCGTGCTGTAAAGTCTGAAATTGATGAGTGAGACTGGCAATTTGCAAAGGAGCTGAAGCTAAAGCTTCTCTGCAGGGTAAGTGGAAGCCATCCAGCTTCCTCACCCAGGTCCTGGGTAACTAAGAGGAACGGTGTTCTCATAGCCTTGGAAGGGCCTGATAACCAGTGTTCTCATAGCTTTGAGACTGCGTCTGACAAACTAATTCATAGAGCTATGTTACGTTATATAATGTTTTGGCAGTTTTCTTTGTTCCCCTCTAGTACTTAAACAGGTAGGGGCTTCTCACTAGTTAGACTCATACCTTTAGCCAGCATGGCTCACCCACCCGTGAATAAAGGCACATCAAGCATCCCCATGGCACTGTGCATTTTCTTCCATCTCCTGGAGGCAAGAATGGATCTACCTGGCCTTGATCGGTTGCAACATAAGCTCTTTGGCTTTTAACATCTTTCAACTGATTAGGTCAGGCTGTTGCCCACCCCCCCATTATCCAGGGCAATATTTACTTAGGGTGAAGTAGTTGTCAGTGTTAACCACGTGTACCAAATGCCTTCACAGCATTACCCGCATTAGTGTTTGATTGAATCACTGAGCACTATCAACTAGCCAAGTTGATATAAAACTATCACATCAGAAGACTTCTCCAGACTTGAAATTCCAATTATTACTACTTGAGGAAACTTTTTTCTTTGAAGACTTAGATTTTCAAGGAGAGCATTACTTAAACATAATGCACTTAAAAATTACATTACAAAAGAGATTTTTCTCATTTTCGTCTGATTTCTTTGCAAATCTCAGTTTATCACAGCTTTATCTCAGGGTGTTCAGGCCACCAGAGCTAATTTGTGAGTCAGCAGCTGAAAAACTGAAAAGAGGTTGTGCTGCTTTAAGTGAAGTCAGCAGCTAGGCCCTCAGGTGGAGTCACTTCCTGCGCTGTGATAAGGCTCACCTGGGCAATCTGTCACTCATTACCAGGGGGCACCTTCAGCTCAGCATGGTAAGTGACTACTGTGCTTGTACCTTGTTGCCAGCGTTGCTTTGGTGTTGTATCAAATTTTGCTCATCATATTTAGCCCTCTTCCTTACCAGGTGATTCTTAATCAATTCTTGATATGAGAAAAGAAATTTTTAAAGAACCATTTGTTTCTTTTAATATCCACGTTTGAAGCAGATTTAAATAAACTCTATTCAGCTCTTGTTTTTGCTGCTTTTAGCAAAAGCATAGTTAATATGCAGGTGTTCATTGCCTTTAACCGAAATGCTGAAGCATGAACTGCTGCTTCCTTTAGTTTTTGCATTGTTTTTAGACCTGGCGTGCTGATTTTTCTGTAGAAATCAATTACTTCACCTTCAGTTGTAATTTTTGAGTTTCTGGGGACTTCACACCCAGGTTACCCATTACTGATTTCATAAGTGTGTGGCAGGTAAAGTGCATGAACATCTTTGTTCTCTTGAGTTTAGTCCTTTGGGGACCACCTCTTAAGATCCACTTTCCCTTTAATCTCTATCTTTCAATCACAATAATTTTAATTTCTCAGAATTTTTAATTTTGAAATGGAAGTAACCTTTCAAACTGCTTTTTCATCTTTGATCTTTTCACTCCTGTCAAACATTTTAAGGGTGTTTAAATTGTTTTGCTCTTAAAAATGATGTCTTCCTACATGAGGGATCCTCATGGTAATGGAAATGTGTCTTGACTGTATTAATTCAGTATTCTGGGTATGATATTTACTATAATCTTGCAAGATATTTCCGTTGGGGAAAATGGGTAAGAGGTATAGGAGGTCTTCTGTATTATTTCTTATGACCATATATTAATGTGCTCTGACATACAATATTGATATTCAGTGGGTATTTTATAATATTTTGTTATTTTATAGTTTGGTTAATATTTTTTAAACTTTATTTATTTATTTTTAGAGAGAGAAAGGGAAGGAGAAAGGGAGAGAGAAAGAGAGGGACAGAAACATCAATGTGTGGCTGTCTCTCAAATCCCCCTATTGGGGACCTGGCCTGCAACCCAGGCACGTGCCTTGACTGGGAATCGAACCGCTGACCCTTTGGTTCCCAGGCCAGCATTCAATCCACTGAGCCACACCAGCCAGAGCGTTTGGTTAATATTTTAACATAGTTTGGGAAGGAGGAAAAAGGTAAGAGAGGAATAAAGTAAAAATAGCATTTTGTAACCTGGGACACAATTATGTTACAGACTCACCTGCTTCTCAAACCAGTAAGGGCAAAGGTTGGTCCTTGTTGGGCCAAATGTTCCTGCTGAGTTTGCAAAAGACAGTGCCACTCCTGTGTCTGAACTATTTGGGTAACAGGCCACAGAGCAGCAATTTTAAAAATAAAAGAAATTTTTATCCTTACCTGAGGACAATTTTTTATTGCTTTTTAGAGAGAGGAAGGGAAAGAGAAAAACGTTGATGCAAGACAGAAGCATCGATTGGGTAGCTCCCAACAGTGCCCAGACTGGGGACCACACACACCCTGACCGGGGACCAAACCTGCCCACCTAGGTATGTGCCCTGACCAGGAATTGAACTCTCAATCTTTTGGTTATGGGACGATGCCCCAACCAATTGAGCCACACTGGCCAGGGCAGCAACTGTTTTTTTTTTTTTTTATGTTGGTGATTTTTTGTATGTGATTATTGTGAGTAAATGCCACGTGTGCATCTGATGTGGACTGGGGTGGTCAGCAGCTGAGGAGGGATGCTGTGAGAGAAATCTACACATAAGTAGTTTTCATGCTGTGGAAACAATGAGTTCCCCTTCCCTACTTTTAAAATTTTACCTAAATCTAGGGATTTAGATGAGTTTTGATCTGATTATAGCAGCTATTGTACTGAGATCATTTTAAAGTCCAACAGGACTTTAAATGTAGGGGTGTGAGGAGGTTCTTTATGGTGGAATGTGTCGTTTTGATTTTTATGTGCCTGAGAGTTTGGAATATCGGTCGGTACTAAGTGAAGTGCTTTCTAAATCAAGTTCACAGCCTTTGTCAGGAGAGACTGATAGTTGTACAGAGAAGAAACAAGGGGGAAGTATTCAATTAGTGAGACTGAATTTCTCATAAAGCAAAAGGACTATGTTATGACTTGTAAATCAAGGAGGCAAAGTACAAGGCATGATGTGCCGAGTGAGGATAGAGTCCAAGTCTGATTGCAGGGGTGTGTCCGGCCAGGGCCTCCTGCCTCCCTCTGACCAGGAGTCTTTTTGTAGTTGAATTTCAGACCTTGGGAGAGTACCAAGGCAGGGTTGCCTAACAGCTTATCAGGCAGACAGCCTGACGGGCCCCATGTGATTCAAAAACAGCCTTATTGCCCTGTAAGACACCTGCTTAGACTTGTCCCATGTCTACCTGCAATCAAAACTCAATTATATTAAAATCAGCAGTTCCTGTCACTTTCAATTTTTAGGATTCTTTCTTTTTTTCTCCTTAGATGAATAGATATTGTCTACTCAATAAATAAAAAGGTTTTTTGAAAAACCTTTTTTAAAGGCTTTAAAAAATATGAATAGTGATTTAAAAGTGGGTTAGGAGAGTAGAGGCTGATGATGGTAAAGGAAAACAGTAAAGTTTAAAATAAGAAAAAAAATCGCTATCCAGATATAACTATAATTATATTTTTATATATTTAAAAAATACTCTTTCTATATTTTTAAATGTATTTGACATCATACACTATATAACTTATACAACTTATATAATTATTACTTAACATTTTATCATAAACATTTTCCATGTCATATTTTTTTTTGGTAAATATTTGAGGCTTGCATTCCATGCCATCATATTGATGTACATTCCTTTAAATGGTCAACAATAGGTGAACGATTAAGTAGATTGGTCCTTGTTTTATCACCCTTATAAATTATAATATTTTGAATGCCATTGTACATTTTTAGGTTATTTCTTTTCTTTTGTATTTGTTTGTTGATGCCATTTGCCTATGTATATAGTAGATATCTCAAGGGCTTTTTAAAAAAAATCAGTGTATTTAAAAATTATCTTATGTATATCTGAGTTGTGAAATCTATTGCTTATTTCCTTGGTAAATTTTTCACTACTTTTAAGCTTAGAACATCCTTATTAATCAAAGCCCATATGAATAGCAAATGTCGCTTGCTATTCTCAAGATATGAAAAGATAACATCATTAATTTATCTGTTATGGTTTTAATATGTGTCAAATCTATACATTGATATTGGTTTTATTCTTTCTGATAACTACCTAATTTTTTTCTGGATAAGACAGCTTGATTTTGTGTGTGTGTGTGTGTGCGTGTGTGTGTATATATATATGTATTTTTCTTGATTCATGCTTAAGCAGTTACACAATAGGTGCCTAATTTATGTTATTGAGAAAAACATCTTAAAGGAATCAACTTCCTTGGTTCAGTTGTTCCTGTATCCTGGTTTTTGATTTGCATGAATACTTCCAATTTGCCTCATAATAAATTCCTCCTGTTGGTGTAAAGTACCTGGTGTCTGTCAGTTGTAAGAAGAAATGCTGAGTGACGTGACTCATGAGCTCTAGAGAGGCCTGCTCAGTTCTAACTCATTCTGGCTTATTTCAGAGGGAGTGCCTTTCCATTCATGTGGGCCAAGCTGGTGTCCAGATTGGGGATGCTTGCTGGGAACTCTATTGCCTGGAACATGGAATCCATCCGGATGGCTTTCTTCTCAACAGTAAAAAGGATCAGTTGGGAGTTGCTAAAATGGAGCATAAGGATGCCTCTTTTGATACTTTCTTTTGTGAGACAAGAGCAGGGAAGCATGTGCCCAGAACACTCTTCATTGACCTAGAGCCAACTGTTATAGGTAAGATAAGGTTTATGTTTTAGTGTACTTTACCAGGGCCACAATCAAAACAAACAAATCAATGATTAGTGGGTGGGGCTGTTAGATTATACAGTCCAGTCTATATAAATAAGATTATGTAGTGTTGGCTAGGGAGGCTCAAGTGATCTTTCAACAGCTCCATTAGGAAACATTGTCATCTCCAAGTTACAGGTGAGGAAACTACACCTTAGGAAGGTTAAAGAACTTGCCTTAGGTAATTGAGTTATCCAGGGTTGAACTTCTGTGATTCTAGGTTTGCCTTCTCATAAAGCCATTCTCTTTGAACAGAAAGCAGCATAATTGAGTGAAGGAGAAAATGTAAAATAGTTAATACAACACTAATAAACGTATTAAGTTAAGCCATATAAAATTGCCAACAGATGACCATTTTTTACAAAAAAATGTCAATTTCATATGCTACAACCTCATAATAATAGAAATTTCTGTGAGTTACAGAGGTAGTCATCCAAGGTCTCCTCCTGAGGAAACAGCATTTGCAAATTCAGAGGTATAGAGGAACGTGCAAGTTTAACAAGAGTTCAGCATGGCTGGACCTTCCAGTGTGAATAGGAGGGTGATGGGAGAGGAGACTGGAAAGATAGTTGGGTCTGGGTCATGGGCTCAGGTGGGGGAAGAAATGAAGTATGGTCAGAGAAAGAATTTTGCAAGTTTTAAGATTTTAGAGTTAATAGTTGTGAGTGATGATGACTCAAGTGGAGTGGAACTGAATGGCTTTAGGGTTAAGGAACCCATGGAACAGTCAAATATGTGTTTGAAAACCAAGGGGGGGTCCCTGAGGATGCTGGGCCAGGTACTTAAGTCATTGATCAACATGGAGAAGTTCAGGAAGTTGAGTGAACAGAGTGGTACTGCTGATTTCTGAGAGAGTGGCTTTCACTGAGAGAATTTATGGAACTCACTACCCTTAAGATCTCAACTGGACATTGTCATGAAGAAGCAGGCTTCTGTCAATTCCTTCAATTCTACCCTTTCATTGAACTCAGACTTAGATCTTCTGGTGAGAAACAAAGAGCCCACTCAGAATTATATTCCCACTTATGTCTTGTTTATAAATATAGCTTTAAAAAACCCCAACTTTGGTAGGATTTTGGGGGGTATGTGTATGTTAGTTAAAAGTCATTTAAACTCAATTTTAGTAAATTTAAACATTTGGGGGTGTACAAAATTTGTGGTCATATTATATACAGAAGAGCAAGGTGACCTGAGAGAACCATCTTGCTCTTAGAAAATTAGTGCATTTCCTTTAAGGCAGTGAGTTTCCATGACTAACTATGGATGTCTGGAGCTAAGGCCAAAGATGTATATAATAAGATGAATTGGCATAAATGTATGCCATGAAGTCAAATTTATCATTATTATATATGATTCTTGTTTAATGGGCCATGCATCATGCCCTATGATCTCATTCAAGCCTCATAATAGCTTAGTGGGGTAGGTCTTGTTATTACCCTTATTTGTGAGGTAAAATAATTGAGGCTAGAGATATAAGTACTTGCTCTATAGCTAAGTGAGGAAGGCAAGGTATAAATGTAGGATATTAATTCTTGAACATATGCTCTTTACTGCTATGCAATGCAGCAGCACACTATAACAACCAGAACAACATTCCAAAAGCCTGCTTAACCCTCAAAACACCACTGCAGAATTCTTCATGAGCCCTGCTATTTGGGTAATTCTAAGGTAGGGGAGTGGGACATGGGCCTCTGACATGCTGTTTTTCTTATGCTTCCCAGGGTTTTAAAAGGCAATGAAACCAGGCAAGGGTTGTACTTGGTTGTATTGGATACTGCCAACATCTTACCACCAATTTACCTGCCACAAGCATTTATGTTAAATTTATTTGAGTTGTGTGGGCATTTGAGCATGCCACACCTTCTTTGTTGAAGCATATTTAATGTATACTAGTAATAATTTGCATTGGTATCTTCTTTCATACTTTTCCAGCACACTGTTGGCTCTTTGTGGATTAAGAAATACTTGTCTTAAAATGCCAAAAAGCCACAGGATGTGTGGTGGGTTGAAGAGTGTCTCCTAAAAGTCTATGTCCACTCAGAACCCCAGAATATGACTTTGTTTAGAAATAAGATGATGTCATACTGGATTAGTGTGCCCTAAGTCCAGTGATCTGTATCTTTATAAGAAGAGTGAACACCCAGGGGAGAGGGCATGCATGATAGAGGCAGAGACTGGCATGATGCAGCTGCCAGCCAAGGAACCCCAGGAACTGTTGCAGTCCTCAGACCTTGGAGACAGGCACAAAGCAGATTCTCCTTCAGAGCCTCGGGAACAAATCAACACTGACTACATCTTGCTTTTAGGCGGCTGGCCTCCTAAATAAATTTCTCTTGTTTTAAGAGCCACCTGGTTTGTTGTTATTTGTTACGGCAGCTCTAAGAAATGAATAGAGGGTATATGATGGAAAAGCATACTTTCAATTTGTAGCATACTAGTTATACCTTTTCCTAGACTAAGGAAGGCCAAGTCAGCAGTTTAAACCCATTGCTTTACCACAACATTGGGGGAGGAGAGGAGGGGGAGAAGTGGGGAGCCCTGGTCCAGGGCTGTGTGAGAATTAGCAGAAGGCTAGCAGTTGATGGAGTAGAGTGGCTGACCTGCTTTTCCCTCTGCAGATGGGATTCGAACAGGCAAGTACCGCTCACTCTTCCACCCAGAGCATCTCATTAATGGGAAGGAGGATGCTGCAAATAACTATGCCCGAGGCCACTACTCTCTGGGGTCAGAGATCATCGACCTTGTGCTAGAGAGAATCCGAAAACTGGCAAGTGGCTCTCTTCTTCTCAGCTGGGTTGGGGGAAATGTGCCCGAGTGCCTGGGATTCTTTGGGACACCTCCTAAGCATCACCAGCAGTTCTACCACCAACATAATCACCACCTAACCTCTCTCCTCAGAGCCTCCTGCTGTGCTCAGAGCTGGGAAGTATCCTGATGTGGGCTTTGTTCACACTGTGTTATGTAGGAAAAGCCAGGCTTCACACCTTTTGTATAGCCCCATTTTCTATTTTTTCAAAAAAGATTTATTAAGGAAATATTTTATTTCCCCCCTGCTTTATTGAGATGTAATTGACATACAACATGTAAATTTAAGGTATACCACAATAGGATTAGTTAATACTCCTATCCCCTCACATAATTACCTTTTTAAAAATTTTGTAGTGAAGACATTTAAGATCTACTCTCCTTGCAACTTGCAAGTAAACAATACAATATTGTTAACTATGGTCACCATGCTGGACATTGGAGGCCTGGATCTTGGCTTTATCTTCTAAAAGTTTGTATACTTCAACCAAAATCTCCCCATTCCCCTCCCCCACCCACTCTGGTGCTTAGCAACCACTATTCTCTTCATTTCTATATGTTTGGCTTATTTGAATTCCATATATGAGTGAGATGATACAATATTTGTCTTTCTCTGTCTGAGTTACCTCATTTAGCATAATGCCCACAAGATCCCTCCATGTTTGCAGACACCAGGATTTCCTTTTCTTTAATCACTAGTCCCCATCTACCCTTGGCTTCAGCTAACTCACAGTTTATCTTGTTATCAGAGAGTTCCAAAGCACCCTAAAACTTGTAATTTTTCAATAGTAACCACCATTTGTAAAGTTAACAAGACACCTGAAGATCCTACCTGAAGATTAGTTACTCTGTTTACTGACACTTAATTCTTTAAGGACGTGTGTCTGGAAAACACTTTGTTGAGGACATGTTTTGGTATTTGCCATAATCACTAGGTAATACAATGCCTTTACACCAGCCCAGTAGACTGACTGGTCATACAAACTTAGGCCCTTTGTTTACTATGGGGGGAAACTATGTTGCTTCAATGTTTTGCTAGTCATTTTCTTTGTTATTGATAGAGACCTTGCTTTAGATCACATACAGATATAATTATGGAGGGCAGCAAAAGACAGTTGGATATTTATACTTTACTTACAGTAAATCTCTATTGCCACCTCAGAAGTAATGACTCAAGAATGTTTCAAAATAAATATGTTTGTTGTGCAGTTGATAATGGTAAATCAGTCCTTCACGAAAGTTTTGGTTTGTTTTGGGAACCACTGCTTCTTGGTTTATTTGACTGAGTTTTGATATCTTGTTTACTTTCCCAGGCAGAGCAGTGCAGTGGACTGCAGGGATTTTTGATTTTCCGAAGCTTTGGCGGAGGCACTGGATCAGGATTTACATCGCTCTTAATGGAACAGCTGTCGGTACAATATGGCAGGAAGACTAAATTGGAGTTCTCTGTCTATCCAGCCCCCAGGATCTCCACTGCTATAGTAGAACCTTATAACTCCATCCTCACCACCCATTTCACATTAGAGCACTCAGACTGTACCTTCATGGTGGACAATGAGGCCCTCTATGACATATGCCATCATAAACTTGGTGTTGAACGCCCCTCTTACACCATCATTAATAGGTTAATAAGTCAAGCAGTATCTTCCATTACTGCTTCCCTTCGGTTTGAAGGGTCCTTGAATGTGGACTTAAATGAATTCCAGACCAATCTAGTACCTTATCCAAGAATACATTTCCCCATGACAGCCTTTGCCCCCATCATTTCTGCTGACAGTGCCTACCACAAGGACTTCTCTGTGTCAGATATCACCACTGCTTGCTTTGAATTCTCCAACCAGCTGGTCAAGTGTGATCCTCGACTGGGGAAGTACATGGCCTGCTGTCTACTCTATAGGGGGGATGTGGTTCCCAAGGATGTGAATGCAGCAATTGCAGCCATGAAGTCAAGAAACTCCGTTCAGTTTGTAGATTGGTGTCCAACAGGTTTCAAGGTGGGCATCAACAGTCAACCACCCACAGTGATGCCAGGGGGCGAAATGGCCAAGGTCCAGCAGGCTGTCTGCATGCTGAGCAACACCACAGCAGTTGTAGAGGCCTGGGCCCGCCTGGATCACAAGTTTGACCTTATGTATGCCAAGAGGGCATTTCTACATTGGTACATCAAAGAAGGCATGGAAGAAGATGAGTTTTTAGAGGCCAGGGAAGATCTGGCCGCTCTAGAGAAGGATTATGAGGAGGTGGCACAAAGTTCCTAATGCATATGTGATGGTGGAAATGAATGTTAAGTGCCATATTTACTTTTTAAGACATTATACAGTTAATGGGTAGAATTCCCTTGATTAGAAGAAGAATGAAATCAAATCAAGTAAGAACATAAGTTCCACACTAAATTAAATCAGCTGATATTAACAATGAGCACATCTTTTCTTGTCAGTATAATTCAGCACTGCTACCTGTGAATCTTCTAAGCTTTCGAGTCCTTTCTGAGTTATGTATGACTTTTTTTTTGTTCTTTGAATAGAAACCTGGCTATATTCTTTGCTGTTTCAACCATGACACTATGAAACCCTGTACTATATCTGAGGTGGAACACAGCACAATTTTGATTATTAATGTTATTTCCTCCACATCTATACTTTGTACATTGATTAAATAATGAGCATTTTCAGTATAATTTTTTTTTGCTTCCAAATGTGGGGCTTAAGGTCTCAGTTTGCTTTTTATACAAACAAACAAACAAAGATATTCTTGGGTCTTTCACAAATTTGAATCTGTGTGTCTTATAGGTCCTGTAGGTGAAAGTGATCTCTTTCAGCTTTCCTTCCTTGATGAGGTGTTCTCAAATTGTGGCCCACAGAACCCTATATCAGAACCATTTCAGAAGTTTCAAAAAAAAATGTAGATTCTTAAGCTTCACTATGCACTTGCTAAATGAGAAACCCTGGGGATTGGAGGCAGGGTGATCTGAGGATTTGAAATTTTAAAAAGATACTTAATGGCCCTTGTTGGTGTGACTCGGTGGATTGAATGCTGGCCTGCAAACTAAAAGGTTGCCGATTCTATTCCTGGTCAGGGCACATGCCTGGGTTGTGGGCCAGGTCCCCTGTTGGGGGCATGTGAGAGGCAGCCAACTGATGTTTCTCTTGCACACCAATGTTTCTCCTTCTCTTTCTCTCTCCCTTCTCCTCTCTCTAAACACAAATAATAAAATCTTTAAAAAAATAAAATAAACACTTAATGGAATTAATTTTTGGTATTAAACAGTATTACTGCTTGGTAGTAACCCATTTTCAAATGAGTTATAATTTAAAATAAAAAAAAATTATAAATGTGTTAAAATCACTAGCCAGATTTTTAAAATCCATGATGTTTATTTAGCCTAATAGTTGGAATTAGGTGAACTAGATATTGCAAATGTGTTTGCTTGGGCTGGTGTTGCTCTTGAGATGATGGCTGATACTTTTCAGGTGACTCATTCATCAGATGTTTACCTTTCAGCCTTGGTCCTCTGGTTGTCCTCTCTTTTGGCCTGGACATGGTCAGTGGTTTTGGTCTGGTAGGTCCTATACCTTGGCTGAAGGTGTAAAGTTGTGTGTATTATAAGATTTACCAAACTGCAATGCTGCTACCTTCTTACATGTTTTGCCTGGACCCTAGAACTGCTGGTCCATCTTTTACATGTTCCTGGTACCTGTTTCTACACATTCAAATCCCTGCCCTGAGGTGTGGCCTTTAAAGAACTCCATTTGAAGATGTACTGTTTTGCCTGTTTTCAACTCCAACCATTGTCACTAAAGAGGCCAACAGCCACAGCTTTGGTGAAAATGGTATTTAGATATTTGTCAATACCTGTGAAGAGACAGTTTTCCAGCCCACACAACTATCAGCAAGTTTTTGCTCAGTCCTATCTCAGAGTATTTGTCTGGGCATTCTTTGGCCTTGGCTTCCAAGGCCCTGTACCAAGAGCTCAATCTATGCTGACACCTAAACAATAATCGTACCAGGGTTCCCTTGGGAACAAGGACAGTTAATCCTAAGATGCACGCAGGACTTCCAATACAATAACAGAGTAATGAATATGACTCTCACTCTCACCTCTGACTTGCTGTGATCGATCAAACATTTGGAGGACAGTTAAAAAATGTATACATTTTTTTTCCTCCCAATAAAGGGAGTGATTTGGTGAGCCTGATTGTTACTCTTATCAAATCCAATGCAGAGTAATAGTGGACTGTCTGGCTCTTTATATAAGTGTGGAAGAAAACCTTCAACATTTGAAGGAGCCTGTACTGGTATCCCAATTACTGGGGGAACACTATTTTTTTCACTTAACCTATGTTTCTCATGTTTACATTTTAAACATTATCTATCTTATTCAACTGTAAATAAAGCTATTTGATGACCTAAGTACTATGGACACTTCACATATTGTGAGCTTTAGGGTTAGGTTTCCTAGAGATTATTTATCAAGACTCAAATACTTTTCTTTAGGCTGTTTCTTTTAATCAAATTTGTCACTGTAAAAGGGAAGATGTAACATGAAAGAAATATTTAACTAAATATTAGGAAAGATGGGTCCCATTCATGGCACTATTATGATCTTGAAAGATATACTTAGCTTTCCCATATCTTAACAGCCTCATCTTGGACAAGGTTATTTATAAGACCCTTTCCAGTTCCAAACTTTGTGAGTCTAAGAATTGATTAATTTGTGATGCTACCTGTACAATGCCATACATAGATATGAGATTTACCAAACATTGTTCTTTATTATTCATGTTACCTCTCTATTAGTTTATTAAATATTCATTAAAATATTTTAGTGGGTACCCTAGAAATTACAACATTCAAACTTGACTTATTGGTATGCACTAGTGTTTTTACCATTGCTGGGCAATGAAAAGATCATAGGATTCTTCAACTTCATTTACTATCCTGCCTTTTGTGCATTTTTTACCTTGTACTTTAATGCCATACATATTTTAAACCCTACAAAATATTGATTATTAGTGTGTTTTTAAACAGTAGATGTTTGTTTAGATTTTCCCTCATTATTATTCTTCATTCCTTCTTCCATTACCATACTTCCACCTGGCATCATTTTCCTTCGGACAAAATAACTGCCTTTACTCTTTCTTAATGTGATCTGGGGTTGAAAGGGAATATTTGCCCTTTTTTCCTTTAAGAGTGAGGCCACCTGAGCTAATGATTGAAATGACTCTGAGGAGTATCAGTACTAATTAAATGTGATCTTGAGTCAGGGACTGTCTTATTCATTTGTGTCTCTATGATGTCAGGCATGGAGTTGGTACTTAGTATTTATTAGATTGAAAAGCATGAGGAGTTTACCTTATTTCCTACCTGATTTAAATCACATCCATCTGACTTCAACTTCTTATGTTCCTCTTTGATCTCCCCTTAAAATTATCTTAAATCTTCACATGTCCTCTACTATCCCAGAGGAAAGACCTCTTCTTTTCAAGGCCACTTCTGATTTGTGCACCTTCTCTCCTTGACTCTTCTTGACGACCTTGTTCTTCCATGTCCCTGTATGTTCTCTCTCCCTTTCTCCATTGACCTCTTCTCTCTTCTTGTATGTCAAGGTCTCCTCATTAAAAAAAACCAGTATCCTTTTCTGCATTCTATTACTCTTATACTGTCACATCTTTCCACTTCATCAAACTTTCCAAAGAATATACATCTGTTGCCTACAACTCATCTGCTCACTTTTTAGCCTTCGTTATTTGGTGACCTCCCCATCATTCTACTAAACTATTGTCTTAAAGACCACTGATCATACCTGATTTATCAAAACAATGACTTTCTCAGCCTTCAGATTTCTTGACTTTAAGCATTTGTTAATTTTTTTTTCTTGAAACTTTTCCTTTGCTTGCTGTGGCACTACTTGGTTCTCCTCCTCATCAGACATCTCCACAGACTCCTTTTCTCCATCATCTTCCCCTAATGAAGATGCCTTTGATTCTCTTTTCTGGTTTTTATCTTATTCATAACCACATCAGCTCTACATGGGTACTGTGATTTTCTTTCTCTCTTGAGTGAATTCTGTGCTGGAATTTCTCCCTATTGTACTGACCCTGTCCTCTCAGATGTTTTGCCTATAATTACATTTAACTTCTTCCAAGAAAAACATCATTTTCCTCTAAAGAAACCTGTTCTTCCTTTGGTGTTCTGTCTTATGTCATCTTCTCCCCAGTAAAGCAGAGTCTAAGTAACACCATCATTTTTTATTGTTCTCTCTTTTCATTTTTTTTTTTAATCTTCACCTGAGGATATTTTTAAAAATTTCCTTTAGAGAGAGAGGAATGGAAGGAGAGAGAGAGAGAAATATTGATTTGTTGCTTTCTTGTATGTGCCACAACCAGAGATTGACCCCGCATCCTGGGCATGTGCTCAGACCAGGAATCCAACCTGCCACCATTTGGTTTGTGGGACAATGCTCCAACCAGCTGAGTCACACCAGCCAGGGCTCACAACCCCTTCCTTTTTCTTCTCATTGACACCATCCTAGCTCAGGTCATCAAATCCTTTCCCAGTCCCTAACACACTTGTGTCTAAATGTTTTTCTGCTTCTCACTTTGTCTTCCTGATCCATCCTACTTACTACTTTGTGACTGAATGTTCTGAAGCCCAGCTTGGATTATTCTGCTCCTTATAAAAGGTTTTAATGATTCTCCATTGTTGTAGGCATGAAGTGTAAACTCCTGCATGTGATATGCCGAGCCAATTACCACTAGTTACAGCTTAAATTTCCAGTCCCATCCTGTACTTTGCTGTCATGCATTCCATTCAAAGTAGACTCTCCCCACTTCTCAGCATAGATTCTTATCTCTCTCCTATGTCTTGTTCCTTCTCATTGCTTTCTCTCATTTCCTGTAGGACCATGGGCTGTAATTCCTATTGCAAACCCAGTTCAGATGTCACCTGTTCCATGTAGCTGCTTGGGACTCTTCTTCCTCATGCCTCTTTGAGCTACCAGAGCAATCTGTATTATCCATTTACTCCCACTCTAGGATTCAAGGGGCAAGGTAGGTTTACAGTTGTAGGTATGTGAGACACAGAGTTAATGCTTGTATTATTATTTATTAATTGTATTATTTTCCATACACACAACTATAAACTTACAAAACTACGCTTACTCTGTATTGTAAATACTGAGTGATGAAACTTTTTTTCATGTACATATCCTGCATAGTGCTTTGAACTTTTATTAGGCTTTTACTAAGTACTTAAAAAATTTTTTTTAAATGTACATGTATGGTTTCTCTTTTCAGACACTGGAGGGCAGTGGTGAAATGCTTAAATACTGCTCAGTTGTTTGTATGAGTGTTGCTGGTCTGGAGGGCATTTGTGTACATGTGTGTATGCATTCTCACACACGGAAAAGACCATTTATAGGTTTTTCTATTGTTTTTAACAATTAATAACCTACTGAGATTAAGATAAACCAACAAATTATTACATAAACTTTTAAGTTCAGCTTGTGAATCTTATTATTGCTAAGTCTAGCAAACTTAAAGAATCACTTTTAAAGGGAATATACATGGATTTTTGTTCCTCTTTCTAATCTTAGAGAAATATTCTTTAGTATTTTATATTGCCTTAATACATTTGATATATTTCATTTTATTTTAAGAACTTTAATTGTCTGATGAATTTTCTCAATACTCTATTCAGATCCTTGCTTATTTTTCTTTTTTTTTTCTTTTCTTACCAATTTTTAGTAGCTCTTTATATATGTGATCAATAGACCATTTATCTTTTATATGAGTGGCAAATATTTTTCCAAATTTGTCATTCATTTGTATTTTGACTTTGCTGCTGCTGGTGGTGGTACTGTTAGCTGCTGGTGTGTGTGTAGGTTGTTGATTCCACCATGCAGAAGTTCATTTTATGTATTTTTATGACTTATCACCAAGCTGAAGAGAGTGGAACCACAGTCCCTCTCTGGGAATCTGGCCCTCAGGGTCTGCTGCTGGAGGCCATCAGACCATCAGGGTACTTGCTGATGTCTGTTGTTAGTGGACTTTAACTCATATTAAACTCTCTCATCTCTGAATTTCTCATATATTCTTTATACTAATTGCTAGTGCTTTGTAGTCCATAACATATATTCCATGGAGGTATTTGCTTTTCTTTCATTTTGGTTTTGTCTGTTTGCTTAGATGTTAACTCATGGAGAGCAGAGGTCTTGCCTCACACATCAGCACCATGCTGGGCAGTTACTGTGGGTTCAGGGAGCACCAATTAAATGCTTTGTGGCCCTATGTCCTAGCAGGCTATGGAGGATGTGGGGCTTCCCAAGAGGGATAACTGAAAGCTCCCTCTGCTGTCTAGCCCAGGTACATCCTGGAAGCAGACCCCTGGCTGTGCCCCTTGGGTGGGACCAGGGCCATGGAGATGGATCTAGATTGAATGGCAGCGGACAGAGCCCTCCCTGTTTGATCTTTCCCAACCTCTTCTTTACTCTCCCTAAGGCCTCCAAGAACCATTCACATCCTGGGAGAGATGGGGAATTGACTCATTTTGTGCTCTCCCTCATTTGCCTTCCTTTCTGAGAGAAGAGTTTTAGAGGCAGCTGGCTGATGGGAGAAGAACTGAAACAAGTGAGGGGTTCAAGAAGCCACTGGCTTTAATGGAAGCAAGAGAGCAGGGAAGGGATTTGGTGGTGGGATGGTAACCAGTGTGTCTCCTTGTCTTCCACTCTTGGCTGGGGTTGGTGTGCGGAGAGGAGAGGAGCACCACTGGGTGTCCTCTTCTCAGCCATGGGACCCTCAAGAGGAAGTGTGGAGAAGGAGAAAAGAGACACAGAGCATAGGGAGAGACCTTAACAGCTTTGAATCATGAAGGTGGGACAACACTGCACATCTGTGTATTGTACAGAGGAAGGATTTGGGCTAGAGGCAGGAAAGGATCAGAGGGGTTGAGCAGCGAGGCAGCCTATAAAACTGCACCATCCACACAATACAAACTGGTTGGGTGGGCAAACCCTCCCCATCCTCCCTGACCTCCGTTCTTGTCCTTGATGGGCCTCGATTCACCTTCCTGCTGGCCTTGATTCTACTTCTTCCGTCCAATCTGTGCCATCAGATGAGCATTGGCAGCTGCCTTGGCTCGCAAGTTCTTGGCCTTGGCGATGTTGAAGAGGATGTTCATGATGTTAGTGGGGACATCAAGGGACAGAGTGAGCTTGGTACGCTGGTCACCCTTGGCCTTGTCCTGGTACATCCTCCCCCTGAGTTGTGCTTGGGACAGGTATTTGTACGGGGGGCTTCCAGCTCTACCGCCATCCCCAGGGCTGGAGAAGGTCCTTTTTTTCTTGTTTTCCTCCTCCTCCCTCCCCTCATCCTCTTCTGAGGATGGGTCTTGGCTGGGCAGGTAGGGGAAGCCTCTTTTGCTCAGCAGGGATGCATCCTCCAGCTGGCTCTTCTTGGCCTCAGGCAGGGCTGTGTCGATGCAGCAGAAGATGGACTGGGCTTTGGAGAACTTGTGGGATAAACCCATTCCAGGGGCCCCTATGGGCAGTAGCAGCAGCATCAGGAAGTGGGCCGGCAGGAGCATCTCTCCCTGTGGTAGAAATGAGGGAAGTGGGAAGGGCTATGAGAGGGTTCAAGGCTCAGAAGGACTGGGTTAAAATCCAGTGCAGCCCTGTTAATGCTCTGCTACAACAGTTCTCCAGACCAGCAGCATCATCTGGAAACTTGTTAGAAATGCAGGTAATTCTCAGGGGACTGAGTTGCAGATTCCCCGCCTCCCCATTTACCTTTGTTTAGGGTTTGCAGAGTAAAGGAAAAGAAACTCTCCACACAGAAAAGCTATCTTTTGCTCCTCACCAAAGTCTAATTCCTAAGCAAGTTTCTCCTCTTCCATTTTTTGGGTTCCTTTACCATCACCTCTAGTGAAACACCGCAAAGGTTTACATTTCCCTGCTACCTGCTATGAAAACATTGAGCCCTATGTAGTTAGATTTAAGGGGTAAAGCTCTACATTTATATTTTTCTCACTTGTATACATGAAACTCAGTTATTGTTTAGGGTTGTTACAGCAGTACCTTCTCTGGGTGATCTACAGATATACACTTACTTCTGAGAGCTGCAACAGAGTCCAGTCCTAGAAACTCGGGCTGGCCTGAAATCCAGAGTGCCTATGAGGGAGAGAGTACCTGAGGGGGAAGGCTTCAGGGTGGTGAAGCCAGAAGGCATAGCTTTCCCCCTGCCAGCTCCATTTTCCAGTGGGGCGAGGTAGGGAGGAAGACAGAGTTATTTCCCATTTTACCCAGTGTTTGTCTGTAAACACTGGTAAGAAGTTGAATTAAAATAATGAAGAATGTAAAAACATTTTAGAAAATGTGTCTGTAAACCTAGGGAAGCTTTAAACATTTCAAAAATCACGGTCATGAGCACAGGAGTGAGCTGTTTTCCTTTTGTAGACTCGTGTATCTCACACACACACACACACACACACACACACACACACACACACACACCCACCTCTAAGCGGTTCATTCTCTAACTGAGCGGTGAGGGTTTATTCATGAAAGGCTTTTCCTCCAAAGAGGGAGGATCAGCCAGGGGAAAGTTGACAGGTTATAGATCATTGGCAGAATTTGTATTGCTGCCACATTATTTAATCCATTCTCAGAAGTGGGTATGTGTGTGCGTGTGTTTGCTAGATTGCTATGTTTGAGGAGAAAATTGGAAACAGGATTTCTCAGAACACTTCGGCATCAAATGGAGACTTCAAACATCCATCTATATGCTACCTCCCCTTCACAGGTAACAGCTAGTTATGCAGGTATTGTCCAATGTCCTCTGTGTAGCAAGGGGGAAAGAACTCCGGGCTTTGAGGGCAGAGGATCTCAGTTCGAAACTTCCCTCACCACATCCTAAAAAGGAGACTATCTGCCTCACAGGTGTGCTGAGAGAAGCAAAGGAGATGGCAGAGGTTGAAAGACAGTGGCACATGATAGGCAATAATTTCAAACATCCTACTGCTCCTGCAGGCAGTGGGGAATATCCTGTAGTTTCTATCTCCCATCCCCATTTGTAGACTATACCCAGGGCCACTTTTCATGTTCACAATTGGATTCTGTTCAGAAAAATAGATTTGTATAAACCCACTCTGCCTTCAATTTATTACCTTTTGCAAAGCAGGTGCTTCTATATCAAAAAAAGGGGGATCATTTTACTGCCCTTCAAAACTTCCCAGTGGTTCCTTTGGATCCATTTCTCTTTATCTAAAACACCGTGGTGTCTTTCACCCCTCATATCTCAATGCTGTCCAGTCCCCAGCACCTCCTGCCTAATTTAGGGCAAATAAATTTATCTTTCATAAAGAAGTTTCTAAGCAAAATCTTACCCAAGAGTGGACTTCCCTCTGGAGTAGAGATGCTTGGTGAGGCAGACACAGCTTCAGGACCAGGAGATCTGCCCAGGGAACATCCCCCTGAACTTCTGTCTCTTCTAGGATCACTGGCTCCTTTTCTTGTACTGTTTTCTCTCTATGGAGACTGCACCACTCCCTGTGTGTGTATGTCAAAGTGACAGATCATAGGGAGGGTCGTAATTCCAGATGTGGTGTCTACACTAGGATGCTGATTTTGTTTAAAATACAACCAGAAGCAGCTGTCCGCGTCATGGAGATGACAGACACTGTGTATCCTTGACCCCTCCTACCTGCACTCCCTCACAGCCCTCCCCACCTCTCACTTCCCCTCCTGTCCTAGCAACTTGCTTGATTGATGAAAAAGGAAAAACACTGTTGAACTGAGAGGCAGTTTCTTTGAAGAGTTTTATTACTGATCTTAATGCTTACTAATTTCAGCCTTTCTATATCCTTGTCACCCTAACCTGCCTTTTAGACATTTGGAGCCAGGACCTGCTTTGAATGTAGAGAAGGTGACTTGAAGTTCACCTGTTGTCTTGTAAGACTGTGGGCTCTGGCCTGCAGTGCTGTCTCACAAAACTCAATATAATTGTGTTATCAAAGGGCACACAAAGGGATAGGCACAGTGTACCTAGACCTTTCGCTGGGAAAGTGCTTAATTTTACCCATTTACTCATCCATTCATCCAGTATTTGGAGGGCACCTGCTGAGTGCCAGGTATTGCCAGGGCCTGCAGGAATTCAGGAAGTTGAAGCTCCTGTTCTTACAAGACATTTGCACTTTAGAAAGATACATAAAAATGAAGCCAATTTTCAGTGTGACAAATGTCACAGCACAGAAGGGAGCACCCCTGTCCTGGAGACTCAACACAGGTGACATGTGCCAAGAGAGCAGAGCATAGGGGTTCAGACAGAAAGGTTTGGGTGGAGAGCACCAATGATAAGAGGGACTTGTGGGCAGGAGGGTGAGTGGGAGATTGGCGGGTGGCAGGGTTTGGGATGCTGCTTCATCCTGGGATGTACTCTGAATGCAGGTTAGGAAGTTAGGATTTTACTCTAAATGTAGTTTAAGCAGGGATTTAGACAGAGAGGCAATAAACACTGGGTTTCTTTTCTTACTAATCAGTGCTTTCTGCTCTCAACTTCCTAGAAAACTTCCCCACCTGAGGCCAAACAAAGCTCCATGGGACTAAACAACATCTTGGCATCAGTGGCTGGTAGCTGTCCTCTGAGCCCGCTGCCTCCTCCTCCAGACAGGCAGGCCCATGGGTTCCCACCAGACCATCCTGGGTTGGCCTTGGCAATGGCCAATGCTTCTAGGAACTCCTGCATGTGAGTATGCAGGGTGTCCCATGGGATCCTCGTTGGCCTGGGCAGTGGTGTAAGGATGTCGTACTTGTGATTAAAACCTCAAGAAGTAGTCTATTTGCTTTGCAATTTGAAACCTTTCCTGGCTGCATCTAATGGAACATTACACAGAATCTAAAAAGAAAGAGGGTGGTTAGTGAACAAAACCCACCAGGGTATGATTTCCAGTAAATAGTGATTTCCCTTCACGCTCCCGCTGCAGTTTGTGTGTGGCATTCTGCTCTGCTTGCACTTCCTCTGGTCATGTGAGCCATTGGTCTCTTCTGCGAATTCAGCATTGGAAGGTCGTTTAGGGATGTAAACCCCTGTAGAGAGTATATGGAAGGCCAGGGTGGGCAGAAAAGCTGATTGCTTTGTAGGTGAATAGGAATGGCTTATATTTGTAAAATTCATTTCTCCAAAGTGCTCGAAGCAGTTATACATAATAACATAGTTTATTTTATCAATGTTTGAGTGGGGCAATATAAGAAACATAAGCATAGGTATAGGAAAAAGGAATTAGGGAATTGCAGAATGCTTGATTTATAAGAATGAGGTTTTGCCTTGGTGTCAGGAAGGAGAATTTGCACCTCTGCCTCTGTCGCTAGCTTGGCTGTTTGATTGGGGTGATCATATTCTCTGCCCCTGTTTCTGGTTTTACCTTCCCTATTTTTCTAACAAGGTTGGCGTCAAGTTAGTATTTGTAAGAACTTGATAAAGTTTTACATGGACACCGAATATTATTGTCATGCTTGTTTTTCAATTCTCTCTTTATTTTCCCATACTGATTTTTAGTTTGACTCCACAGTTGCTGAAGGGGGTATGCTAATCTCCCCCTGTGTTTGTGGGTTTGTGAATTTCTTTTTGTAAGTCTGTCCCTTTTCACTTTATGTATTTGGAGTGGGGGTACATACAAATGTCCCCTTTCATCATTTTACTGCAAACCCCTTTATGCCACATAACATTTTTTTTTGTCTTAAAGTCTGCTATACCTGATGTCAAACACACCTACTTTAGTTTTCTGTTGGTTAACATTTTTTTTTTGTGCATGAATTTCTGGTCTTTTCTGTGTTAAAATTCTTTTGAGAGTAGTGTTTATTTAAATTTTAAAAATCTACTCTAACAAAATTCATTTTAACAAGGCTGTTAACACATTTATACTAATAGTGATGACTAATGTATTTGAATTATACTCTGCTGAATTATTTTGTGTTTTCTAATTGCCTCAGTTTTCTCCTATTTCTGTTTTTTTCTTTTCTGTATTCTGTTGTTTTGACTGATTTTTTTTGTTTTTATTTTTATGTTTTAATTGAATTTATTGGGGTAATATTGGTTCACAAAACCATATAGGTTTCAAGTGTACCACTCAATAAAACATCATCGAAACAGCGCATCATGCGCCCATCACCCAGAACAAAGTCTCTTTCCATTGCCCTTTATCCCGCCTTTGCCCACTTCCACCTTCCCCCACCCCCTTTCCTTCTGGTTAACACTACACTGTTGTCTGTGTCTATATGTAATATAATATAATGTAAAGTTATATATACAGTTTTTTACTTAATCCCTTTACTTTCTTTCATCCAGCCCTTCAACCCTCCTCCCCTCTGACAGCTGTCAGCCTGTTTCATGTGTCCGTGCCTCTGTTTCTATTTAGTTCTTCAGTTTATTTTGTTCATTAGATTCCACATATAAGTGAGATCATATGGTATTTGTCTTTCTCTGACTGGCTTATTTCACTTAGTATAATGTTCTCCAGGTCAATACATGCTGTTGCAAAGGGTAAAATTTTCTTCTTTTTTTAACAGCTAAATAGTATTCCAACGTGCAATG